GAGCTGCATCAGGCAGAGCCATGAGGCCCCCACCATCACCCAGTCCCCCTGTTTTTCCTGTTGCGCCCCATTCCCTGCCCAGCACTCACCGTCCTACCGGCAAAGCTGACCCGCACTGCCACCTTCCCCCAGCCCCTCCTGACGCCCAGGTACGGCCGCACCGGCTCCACTGCCACGGGAAGGGGAGACAGGTGAGCAGGGGAGTCCCCCAAACCCCCACAACCCCAAACCCCCCTGTGCCCACCCTGTGGCAGGTCCTGGGCACGGTACACACGGATCTGCAGCATGGTAGCACATGGGGGTGGGCGCAGCAGGTTGGATTCCACGTCCTCGTCCCCCGCTGGCACCTCCTGCTCCTTGGGGAGGTGCCACAAATTAGGAACCCCGCAGGAAGGTTTTCGGGGTGCTGAGGGGTTTACGAGGCCTCACCTGCACTCTCTCCCCCGCCCGGCGCACGGCCAGGCTGACCTGCAGGTACCCCTGGGAGCGGCTGTCATGGTGCTGCGGGTGCTGCAGGCTCAACCACTGCTGGCTCAGGGTGCGCCCTGAAATGGGGGGGAGACCTTGTGATCATCTTGGGGTCACCCTAAAATCACCCTGGTGTCACTCCAGTGTCACCTCAACCCTCTCACCCACCTGGTGCAGAGTACACAGTGCCGATGTCGAGCTGCAGGGATGGCAAAGGGGTGAGAGTGATCCCACACCCCATTCCCAACAACCCATTCCCCTCGCCCCATTCCTGAAACTCCATTCCTGATGTCCTGTTCCAGACCCCCCATTCCCAACATCCCATTCCTGACATCTCATTCCCAAGTCCAACTCCCAATGCCCTGTTCCAGTCCCCCAATTCCCAATTCCTCATTCCCAAGCCACATCCCTCACCTCGAAGGTGCCAATGACAGATTTGGTGCAGAGGTTTTGGGAACGGAGCACCTGTGAAAGGGAGGGGATATGGCATCAGGAGCCACCTCCTGTCCTTGTCCCGTCCCTGTCCCTGTTCCATCCCTGCCAGTGCCACCAATCCTTCCCACCTGGATCCGGATGGGCTGTGCCACCAGCTGCTCTGGCGTCTCGTGGAAATTTTGGCAGAACACCTAAGGAAAGGGCAAAGAGGGTGAGCGTGGGCTGAAGGGCACTGGGGGTCCCTGTGTCCCCTCCCCGGGGTCACCTCATTGAAATAGGGGTTGTTCCCTGTCCGGCTCCGGGTCCGGAAGTGCCGCTTCCCTATGAGCACCTTCACCACCGGCCTGATATCGTTGCCCTGGAGCTGCCGGGCCTGGATGATCCTCACCCGGACCTGCGGGAGAGGGACAGGGACAGAGTGGGCGATGGGTGGGATGCCACCCCTGGGGGTCTTGGAGTCCAGGGGCCTTGGGTTGGAGTCCAGGATAGTCTTCATTTGAAGTCCAGGACAGGTTTGGTTTGGGGTCCAGGATAGGCTTGGTTTAGGGTTAAGGGACTTGGTCTGGGGGTCCAAGAGGTTTTGATTTGGAGGCCCAGGGGGATTGGTTTGGGGGTCCAGGATAGGCTTAGTTTGGGGGTCTAGGAGGTTTGGTTTGGAGGTCCAGGGGGCTTGGCTCAGTTCGGGGTCCAGAATAGGCTTGGTTTGGGTTCCGGGGGGATTGGTTTGGGGGTCCAGGATAGGCTTGGTCTGGGGTTTAGGCCAGGCTTGGTTTGGAGTGCCATACCTGGAAATCCTCTTTCCTCTCCACGGGGGCCCTGCCAGAGCTCTGAGGTGGCTCCAGTGCCCCCGGCAGTGCCACCCATCCCTGAGGGGTGACCGTGGCGTTCTCAGTCTTGCCACGGGGGGTGTAGTAACAGCGGAAGGTGACAGTGCACTGCAAAGAGACAGTGACACCCCAGTGGCCCTGGTGGCACCCCAGGGTGCTGGAGGGGGGCTCCGTGGGGGGGAGCTCACCCCTGTGGGCTTATCCCAGCGGTCCAGAAGCAGGGCATCCCTGCGGGCCATTGGCAGGCTGGGGTTGGCCACCAACTGGTCCAATGACACTGTGGTGCCACCCAAGTCCCTGTGGGGACAGGGGAACATGGTGAGTGTGGCTATGAGGTGGGGGTCAACCTGGGGTGCCCACCCACACCTGCCACTCACCCCCGGGGCACCAGGTGGTCCCAGTGCTTGAGGCGCAGGCTCAGCGTGTCCGTGGGGCTTAGGGGACACTCGTCCAGTGACCACACCAGCTCCTGGGGGTTGGAGGGAGGTGACAAGGGGTCAGGGGGATAACCCATGTGTTCCTGTGCCACTGCAGGTCCCCCTGGGGTCACCTCACCTCATTCCAGGTGGGGCTGCGCTCCTCAGGCACCACCTGGGTTCTCCTGGAGGTACCTGTGGAGAGGACAAGAGGAGGGTGGTGGCACCTCAGGGTGGGGTCATTGGGGTAGCAAGGTAAGCCTGGCACTGGCCCCATGCATTGGGACACCCAGAGCTGGGATGCCACCCCTCACACCAGGATGGTCAATACCACCCAGCCCCACAGGGACAGCCACTGCGGTGTCCCCTTCCCGTTCCCAGTGGTACCTCGGAAGCAGACGGACAGATGGACACTGGGACCAAAGCCGGTGGCCCCGGGGATGTGGACACTGACCACATGGAGTCGCAGCATGGCCAGGGATCATTGGCACTGGGGGTGGCGGCAGGAGTGTCACCAAGGGGCTGCCACCAATGGACCACCCCTGAGGTCCTGTCACTGGTGATGGCTTCAGTGCTGTCACCAAAGAAATGGCTGCAGGTTTGTCACCAATGTGCCATTCTCGAGGTTGTCACCAAAGGGGTGCCACCAATGTGCCCCTCCATGTGCTGTCCCCAAACTGATGACACCACAGCAGCATAACGGTTTGGTTCTCACATTCCAGAATGTCAGCAGGAGGGAGGCAGGGCAGGGACTGTTGGATGGATAGATGTCACTGTGTCCCTGTGTCCCCATGTCTCTGCCATCGTGTGGCCATGTCTGTGAGCAGCCATGTCCCCATGTCCTTGTCACTGCCATGTCCATGATCAGCCATGTCAGCGTGTTCCTGCGTCTCCCTGTTCATGTGCTCCCACGCCTTGTGTCACCCTGACGCAAAGGGGACATGGTGGGGACATTGGAGGGATGCGGAGGGGACAGGAAGGGGACACAGAGAGGACACGGAGCAATGATGGAGGGGACAATAAGAGGGGACATGGAGACACCAGTGACGGAAAACGGTGGAGCCGTGTGGAAGATGTGAAGTGTTCATGGATGGGACAATGAGAGGCATGGGGAGAGGACATGGTGAGGATGTGAGGAGTTCATGGATGGGACACAGAGGGGACACGGAGGGGCACAAAGGGGCCATATTCGGAACACAGGACTGCGGGAAGATGGGAATGTCGAACATAGGAATGTGGGAACACTCCCTTAACACTCGTGCTGTGCTCTGGCACTTCCTGAGGTTTTGGAGGAGGGACAGGGCCACATGTGTGCACTCAGTGGGGGTGGAAGGTGTTGGACCAGATGATCCCTGCCTGTCCCTTCCCACTTGGGATATTCTATGACTCTGTGGGAGTGCCCAGTGTCCTGTGCAGAGGCAGAAGTTGGACTGGTTGATCCTTGTGTTTCCCTTCCCACTCGAGACATTCCATAATCCCTGCCTGTCCTTTCCCACTCGGGATATAACCTGATCCCTGTGTGTCCCTTCTCCCTAAGGACACTCCATGATCCCTGTGTGTCCCTTCCCATTCAGGAAAACTAATCCCTTGCTTGCTAAAATGGATAAATAGTAAACAGGTTTGGAGTTGGTGCTGGATTTATGGAATTCCACTGGACACCCAACTCTGGAAGAAATGACCCGTGTCTCTCTCCAGTGGGTCGTCATTGGTTTGTCGCACACTGGGAAGGGTTCCCATTTCTGCAGACAACAATGGGACAGGACTGTGGGAACACAGAACTGAGGGAACATAGGAGTGAGAGAACATGGGCACACAGGACTGCCAGAACATGGGAACACACAACCACAGAAATATGGGACTGCAGGAATGCAGAAACATGGGAACATGTAAGTATGGGAACATGGGACTGTGGGAACACGGGAACACAGAATTACAGGAACATGGGAATATGGGATTGTAGGAACACGAAAGTGCCAGAACACAAAAACACGTGACCACAGGAACACAGGAATGTGGGAACACAGGGCTGCAGGAACATGGAACAGCAATCCCACAAGACAGTGGGAATGTGGGAACATAGGAACAGGGAATTGTGGTAACAAGGGAACATGGGATTGCAGGCACTGCCAGAACACAGGAACACAGAACTGCGGGGACGCAGGAAAGTGGAAACACAGGACTACAGGAACATGGGACTGCAAGATGATGGGAATGTGAGAACACGGGAACGCTCCCTCAACGCTCGTGTGCACTTGAGGGGTGGTGAAAGGTTGGACCGGATGATCCTTGTGTGTCCCTTCCCCCCAGGACATTATCGGATCCTTGTGTGTCCTTTCCTCCTCAGGATGTTCTGCGGGAGCGCCCGGTGTCCTGTGCAGGGCCAGGAGTTGGACTGACTGATCCGTGCGGGTCTCTTCCCACTCGGGCCATCCACGATCCCTGGAGGTCCCTCCCTAATTGGGATATTCCCAGATTCCCTCATCCCCCTCAGGATATCCTCGGCATCCCGCCCCGCGCACGCGCGCTGAGCATCCGGGGCGGGGGCGCGCCCCGCGCACGCGCAGTGCGGCGGGAGGGGGGAGACCTCCCGCCATGTCGCAACGCTGCGGGGACCGCGATCGCGATAGGGAGCACGACAGGGAGCGGGAGCTACAGTGGTCGGCCCGCAGGATGGGTACGTCGCTGCTGCTGCAACTGTCGGCGCACGAGCGAGAGCTGGACCTCGTGTGCCTCGATCACAGCTACGCCAAGCCCTGGAGCGCGCACCCCGATGCCAGCGCGGCCCGGCCCGCCCGACTGCTCTTCATCACACCCCGCAGGCACCTCGGCACCGCCCCGTGAGACACCGAGGGGCTGAGGGGAGGACTGAAGGGGGAGAGGGGGAGGTCTGTGGGTGTGTCCTGAGGGGCTGAGGGGGCTTGCGGGGAAGGAGGGTCTTGAGAGAAGAGGGTGAGGGGTCTGAAGGTGGCCAGGGGGGTCCTGAGGGGCAGGTGGTGGGGCTGTGAGGAGCGAGTGGGTGGTCCTGAGGGAGCTGAGTGGGCCTGCGAGAGGAGGGAGAAGGGCCAGGGGGACCCTGAGTGGCAGGTGGGGGGCTGTGAGGGGGGCCTGTGAGGATCCTGAGGCGACTGGGGGGTTGAGGAACCTGTGGGGGTTTTGCGTGTCAGAGAGAGCTGTGTGGGGCTGGGGAGTCGATGAGAAGAGGGGAGGGGGTGCTCAGGGACCTCCCTAGGGGCTGGGAGCTTGTCTTGAGGGGCTTGTGGGGGTCTTGAGTGACAGATGGGTGGGCTTTGAGGGGAGTCGGGGCTCCTGTGGGTCTGGGGGGACTGCTGGGATCAGGAACCTGTGTAGGGGCTGAGAGCATGTCCTGAGGGGCTGTGAGGTGGGAAGAGGAGCTGTGAGGCAACAGTATGGGGCTGGGGGTATGAGGGAAGGATGGGGGTCCTGGGGGGTAGTGTGGGGTTTGTGGAACAGAAGGGTGGGGGCACCCTGAGGTCCCAGGGTGGACTGTGGGGTGGGTAGGAGGGTCGTCTGGGGTGAGAGGCTTTAAGGGGTCCTGAGGGACCTGTGAGGCAGGTGGGGGCTGTGAGGGGAGCCTGTGCTGTCTGTGAGGGGAGCCTGTGCTGTCTGTGAGGGGGAGCTGAGGGGCCTGTGTAGGGCTAGGGTCATGTGAGTGGTCCCATGGGATGGGGGAAGTTTTGGGGGGCCTGAGGGGAGGAGCAGGACAGGCCCTGAGGGATCTGTGAGAGGCTGTTGAGGGAAGGGGAGAATGCGGGCCTGGAAAGACAAGAGCAGGTTTGGGCATCCAGAGAGCTTGTTTTGTGGGCCCAGGTGGTTTGGTTTGGGGTCCAGGATAGGCTTGGTTTGGGGGCGCAAGGCCTTGGTTTGGGGGTGCAGGGGCTTGGTTTGGGGTCCAGGATAGGTTTGGTTTGGGGGTGCAGGGGTTTGGTTTGGGCATCCAGGGAAGCTTAGTTTGGAATCCAGGGGGCTGCCAGGGCACAGATCAGGAGTAACAGGGTCCGTGAATCTCAGTGCCCACCATAGCAGAGCCCAGGGTAACCCATCCCTGTCCTAAATCCATCCCTGCCCTAAAGCCTTGTTCCCTGGCAGGGAGGCCGACATGCCAATTGACGTGGAGACAGTGACACCCACCCCGGTGCCCCTGTACGACAACCAGAAGGCCCGGAGTGTGATGAATGAGTGTGAGAGGCACGTCATGTTCGCACGCACTGATGCTGATGCACCTCCGCCCCCTGATGACTGGGAGGAGCACGTCAACAGGTACCCAGGGACAGGGAGTTCTGGCACCCCGTGGAGTGCTGGGAGGGTTTTGGTGAGACTGGACACACAGGGATGTTACCAAACTGAGCTATGTTCAAGGAAAATGGATTTTTTTGTCCAAACTCATCTGGCTGCTGTGAAATCTGAGTGTGATGGTGGGGGGTGGCCCAGCTGGCAAACCTCTCCCACATGGCATCACAGAATCATTAAGGTTGGAAAAGACCTCTGAGGTCATTGAGTCCAACCTGTGCCCGATCCCCACCTTGTCACCCAGCCCAGAGCACTGAGTGTCACGTCCAGTTGTTCCTTGGACACCTCTGGGGATGGGGACTCCACCACCTCCCTGGGCAGCTGCTTCCAATGCCTGACCACCCTTTCCAGAAAGAAATTCCTCCAGATGTCCATCCCATGAATCCATCTCATGTATTCAGGGGAGGTTGGAACAGTGAGTCATAGAGTGATGGTACAGATCCATAGACTCATTTGGGTTGGAAAAGCCAAATTTTTAAGATCATTGAGTCCACCCATTCCACAGCACAGCCAAGGCCACTACAAACCCGTGTCCCCAAGTGCCACATCCACAGGGATGTTAAATCCTCCCAGGGGTGTGGACTCCACCCCTGTACCAGGGCTGAATGGCCTGTTCCATGAAGGAATTTCCCCAGTATCCAACCTGACCCTCCCCTGGCACAGCTTGAGGCTGTTTTCTCTCATCCTGTCCCTTGTTCCCTGGGAGCAGAGCCACCCCCCCCGGCTTCACCCTCCTGTCAGGGAGTTGCAGAGAACAAGAAGGTCCCCCTTGAGCCTCCTTTTCTCCAGGTGGAGCCCCCCCAGCTCCTTCAGCCCCTTCCCCACTCCATTCCCTTTTCTGGACACACTCTAGCCCCTCAGTGTCTGTATTGAGGTGAGGGCCCAGAACTGTCCCCAGGATTGAAGGAGCCTCAGCAATGCCCAGCACAGGCAGGGATCTGGGGAGTCATTGGATTACACGTAGATCCTCAGTTCAACCATGTTCCAATGTCAAAGAAAATGAGGATGTGCATAAATTCCACCCTGCGGAACCCTCCAGCCCACAGTGTTAACATTATGAGGAATTTGGTTGTTTTATGGACAGCAGCTCTCAGGCCCCAGGCATGTGTGTGACAGCTCCTGTTTGTCTCTCCCCACAGGACAGGGTGGACCATGGCCCAGAACAAGCTGTTTAACAAGATCCACAAAGCGCTGCAGTCGGACAGGTTGGCTCGCCTGGCCAACGAGGGGGTAAGAGTTGTTGTTGTCTGTCCTTCTCAGCAAAGCCAGGATGGAAGTCTTGGCCTTTGGATCATGTAGCCTCAAGGAACAGGCAGCTCTGGGCTTCTTTGAGCCATGATTTTTGTGGAATCATAGAATATCCTGAGCTGAGAGGGACCCACAAGGATCCTTGATCCAACTCCTGGCCCTGCACAGGCACCTCAGCAATCCCACCCTGGCCCTGAGAGCGTTGTCCAAACACTCCTTGAGCTCTGGCAGCCTTGGGGCTGTGACCACTGCCCTGGGGAGCCTCTTCAGTGCCCAACCACCCTCTGGGGGAAGAACCTTGTCCTAATATCCAACCTAAACCTCCCCTGACACAGCTCCAGCACGTTCCCTCATGTCCTGTCACTGGTCACAGAGAGCAGAGATCAGACCTGCCCCTCAGGAGGAAGTTTTGACTTTCTGGGAGGGCTCCCCTCAGTCTCCACTTGCCTTCCAAGGACGGGTTTAGTCCTCATGGCCAGATGTTGGGCTTTGCTTCCAGGGGTCTTAGGGCTGCCCAAGCTAACACTTCCCTATGG